CTTGCGTGATGCGTGAAAACCTGTCCAACCGGTTCTCTGGAGTACAAATACCGCGTGATATTTGCATTCGTCTTAGGCGTTATTTGTACTCTACGGAGTGCAGTGCAGCTAAAAGTGGCAACAGAACCGATCGTTACACTTTGGTTCGTTAGACCTTCAACGATCTCAGGTATATAGGCATCTGCAAATTGATGTAAAAATGATATATTTGGATGCATTTGACGCTATGAGTAGTCTCGTTTGCGGCCGTTCCTTTGGATGTCTGGGGCTAAGTTTTTTTGACATCCGAAAGAATCGTATTAAAGAGGACTACACTTTAAGGGGAATTTCATGACGAGAAAGCTGAGGAAGTTCAGGAGCGCGACAACCACCTTTGCCTTATAGATCGCAGGATGTCTTATATTATGTAGAGGTATGATAAGGCTGCTTACCTATCGGTATTGATTCCCTTGTGCAGTGTTTTGCGTAACCATTTCCAGCTTGGCATGTGTAGCTGTCAAATTGGTCAACTGTCAAATTTTTAAGCAACAATGGACAGCTTAATTTACGTTTATGAGCATGTACGTTTGAGGGCTGTTTGCATTTAGCTCCAACGCGTCTACCCTGTGGATCGTACCACTCGATATAATCGACTCATCTATCCAGATATACTTCGTCTGTCTTTCTGGGCTGTGCTGTACAAGTCAGGGTTATGTCGGCACCAATGGGTAGCAGCTGTTTCCTGAACTTGAAGAGATGCTGACATTGGGTCTAACTGTGTTAGAGAGATTAATGATAAATAATAATAATAAAAAAAACCATAATATATTTTTCTCTCCCTCTAGCCTATCTAACGAAGATAAAAATTATAAATAAATCTATCTTATAGACATGTCTGTGTATCCTATACACATGTATTCTACTATAATAAATAGATACACACCCATTTTCAAAAACGTCTCAATTTGAATACATGTATTAAGAAAATGTACCTTTTCTTTTCTCATCAAGAAGGTGATGCGCGATGCTTGTTTATTTCACATTAAAGGAACAATACCTTTTTTGTTAATTATGTAGCAGCTATTTTACTTTCCTTTTAAAAATTACCCCTATAATTTGTGGAAGCAAAAACGGGTCTTTTGTTACTTTCTCGACTTGACGAGATGTCCACAACGGGTCCTGCTGGGCTAGAGAAATTGATAATAAATGATAATAATAGAAAGATTAATAATACGCAATCTTTTTCTAGCCGATCTAGCGATGCGAAAGATAAATCTATCTTATGATGTAAAGTGAGTGCAGTTCTATACTCTAGATCCCGTTTTAATTAAGCTTTTTATTGTTTATTTCTAATTTGAATTCTCCACCTGAAGAAGGCCGAAGCCCGAAACGTTGTATACAAACACTGAATCATTTGTCTTTATCTTCTTCCTTTCTTCTCTATACATGCGAAACATTTTGAAGAAGATACCAGCATCCTCCGCGTCCTCTTTTTTAGAGCTGTTTGTATGGTAGCCATTTTACACTTCCTGTACACATACATAGTCATACATATACATACAAGAAAAGCATTCGCATCTACATGTTCTTTGACAAGGACTTTTAACTACTTACTTTTTATACTGGGATTGCACGTTTCAGCTCTGACAATTGGAAGATTCCACAAAGCGCCGGTAACAGTCAATAGTACTAAACAGGTTAAAGCTCCTTGAAGCCAAAAGTAACCCATCATCATGACATGTTGACAAATTTGCTACGTGGATGTTTGGAATGACCTGTAGATGGGATTGTTTATTTAAAATAAGTTCTTTTCTTAGAAGAAGGTAATATACTTAGGTAATAGGTCGAACCAGGGTATTACTAAGCTATTGTATCTAAATTTACACACTCAGGCAGTTACAAAAGGAAAAATGAAAAAGGGAGTCTCAAATTTGGCGATTTTGCGCAAAATTCCCGCTAAAAGGTATATAATTTCATTAAAACTGTTCTCTTTCATTTATCCCCAAACGTTTGTATCCTACCATATACATGTGGTTATAGTTTCGTCTCTGGATTACTCAGTAACTTATTTACTTGAGCTTTTGTTTTGCCCCTTTATCGAAATCGCCAACAGTGACAAACAAAATCTAAAGTGAACAGCGACGAGGTTGTACGCAAACTTAATATAATTTTTGATAACTCACTTTTTCGATGGCAAGCAAATGCAACGAACTTAAAAAAAAAAAACAGTGAATTTCTTTATGTTGTAATGACCTGCAGTAAGGAAGCAAAGTTATTTCAAACAGTGCTGATCATAAAGAAAAGGGATTGTTTGGCTTGACAAGAACTTTGTATTGAGTGAGTGAACTCTTCATGTCCGTGTAAAACTACTTTTTTGTGGTCGTAAACTTGAATAAGCTAGGTAGCCTACCAACGGACACGATGTACTCTTACAATAAAAAATAACGCATAATCCCACTAGTATTAATTGAAAATGATCAAAATCTCTTGTAGTTTAACATTTACACATCTGATCTCTGCTAATCCTTACGTCAAGGGATATAAATCCTTCGCAACATATAACAGTGACATCACCATCCGCCTCCTCTAGATTCAGAAAATAGAGACCTTAAACACGAAGGCGCCCTATAAAAGGAGCCTTATGTCCCACTGGACCATTTGTCAATCAACCGTCGTGTGATGTAGAACTCTTAGAGTCAATTCAGCTTGAGCTACAGCTACTCCAAAGCAGTGAACAGCGGGCGCATTCCTCAAAATTGTTTTATGTCTTCATCACAATACAAGAATTTTTGAGATTTGTATTTCCTTTCTCAAATGGAAACTGTCTTTATTAGTGGCGGTAAATTTAAGATCGAAGTAGGTGGTTCGCACGTTACCTCATGCCACCATGATGGTGGAAGTAAACAATAGATATCTCATTAGCTCCTTTCGTTCGTCTACCAGCATTTGAATTTGACCCGCACACGTCAACGATGAATGAAAGATGAGCCCTGGTCTTCCCAGGGAAGACTTCCTTATATAGCGCGCCTTCGTGTTTAAGCAAACCACGACGACGACGGCAACGAGGACGTGGTAAAACAAAAGATCTCGGGGCAGAACAGTAGCTCAGCACTTTTGTTTTAAAACTTTGTACATTTCTTTTCCGTCCTTTGCAAAACAACAACGTAAAATTAGCAAAATTTGCGTAGTCTGGGAACTAATCGACTTCTTCCTTTGTGTCGCCCTCCTGACTGCTAATGGTTTCTATTTCTTATACTTAGCAGATGCTTATGATAAACGAACTCGGCCATATATTTTTTCCGCCTCAGAGGGACTTTATCAGAAGGAAGAGACAGTTAGGTTGGGTTAATCGGCTCATGGGAAAAATGTCACTTTACTGGAAAAGATGTACTTGCTAACGGAGAGATATCCAGCCGCTAAACTGACTCTGAAATTGGTCGCTTGTATACGAAGTCCCTTTTTCGAAGATAAAATTGAAAGTTAATGCGTTCGATTGTCGTCGAGATGCAACCAATAGTCCACGATGAGAGGACGATAATGATTCGTTTGACGATAAAGTAATGTTCAACTGAACGTTCCTGGTAATCATATCTTATATCTAGATTTTTAATTGATTGCATTTATATTTTTAATTATATATTATACTATAGGGTCCTTATAGTTTTCTTATTGTATATATATACATATTTACGTATATTAGTGATTGTAAGCTAGACATGACTCAGCCTATGGCTGCTAAGATTTTAGTCAATAAACTACCTATCTATCTATCTATCTATCTATCTATCTATCTATCTATGTCTCTATAGGAAATGAAAAGTTTGGTAAAGTTTAGACATTGTCTACGTTTTAGTTTTATTAAGTATGGTCACATTGTTCCTAACCAGTGTTTTATTACAAGTTTCAGCTAAGACTCCGAATCTGGCTATCGGCGTTTATCTAAAATCAAATTTATTTCTTGCAAAAAATGGTATGGTAAAATGTATTTCAAAGAAGATTTTAATAGCGTCGTCCGAGGACATCATGCGTACTAGTCAGTTTAGCATGACACGCGCGATGAGGCAAAGGAAAATGATCTAAACGCAATTGGAGTATACTTGATAAACAAACAAATGGAAGACAAAACAAAAAGCCGTGTGGAACATGGGCTAAGAGAACTTTCAACCTTGCTGAAAAACTTCCTGAACGCAAACTCCGAAAATAAATTGTTAATACAAGGAACTGGAAAGAGGAAGACAGACACCCTAGTGAAGCAGTTAAGCACTCCGCTTTCACAAAGAAATTTAACTGCGCATTGGGATAATGTTAGAGGGAAGCATAGTGAAAGAGCACGAAAGTATACTAACTTCCAAATGAAAAACATTGTCATCGAGATAGGCAAATTTCCAAAGCTTGAATAAGCTGAAGAACCGTATATTGTTCTCGAGTTTCTTACCATATTTCACTGCATTACCGCAGTAGGGCAGGACTAGAACGGAACATATGCGATCCATGCGAGTAGTCCACCCATTAAATCCCACCCATCCCACCCCAGGGGAGGACATCCATCACACAGTAATCTCGTGCGTGGGAAATTAACGTCTCCTACCCCTAACCCTGTAGGAGACGGGACCTCCATTTATTCGTCCCTATCCGAGAAGACTTAGAATATCTAACCTTTACTTATTGTTATAGAAAGGTAGCATATTCTTCTCGATTATTTTAAGACCTTCTGTGTTGGTCCGGCGGGACTTGAACCCTCGACCTCCCGCACAACAGTCCAGTGCTATCCATTGAGCTAACCGGAAGGCGGTTTTGATTATATACCTTTGAGCTTCGAATGCGATGATCTTAAACATATTTACCTTTTTGAGACTATAATTCAAATAGATAAACGCCACATCATGATGCAGCGTTTGTTAATATTTCATCTTTAAATTCAGTTATTTCAGGGCAGAATATATTCGGGATTTGTGATTATTCGAATAAATACGGTATTTATACAAAATTTTTCTTCTTTTTTCGGCTTTTATCGAAACATTCAGTGAAAGAAAGCGCCAAATATGAGGTCCAAATAGGAATCGATAGAATCAAGATTATGCGAATGGGTGATTCCAGTTGCTCCGTCTGATTTTTGACTTCTCTCTTACGCTGCAGTTGTCAAGGCGTCATTCACCTTTAGGGACTGAGCAGTTTTATCCTCAATGACTATCGAACCAGAAATAAATGCCAAGCTCAAAAGTCGGTACTGGTTAGATATTTTTGGCAAGCTTCAGAATTTCAAATTAAAGTATAATTAATTATATCGCGATAAGATTCGCTTGAAACCTCTATCTGGCCATTTTTAGTTTAAAATTCAACGATAGACAAAAGTGACGATCATATATAGTTTAAATGTCTTCCGCTTTCTTTGACACCTTCACGAAATTTATGCATTATAGAAGGAGTTCGAGGAAGAATCACTGCATGTATATTCATTAATTTGGAGGCGAATGAATATTGAACTCGTTCAAAGAGCTTTACGAAACAGGATCTAGCCCTTATCGTTTATAAATGCGAGACAAATCGTATAAATGTTTGTTAAATTAAGACTACCCGCCAGTCATTGAAACTCGAAGATTCCACTGTCAATAAATTGAGGTTAAAACGACGGCGGTTAACTTCGAGGGTTTATGTTATTCTAAAAGCGAAATGTTGACGTCACCAGTTTTTATTCACCATATGCGTTCTTCCCGCGAGACTAAACAGTCATTGTTCTACATTTTCCAAATATTTTATCGATAGAAAGAAAAGCCAATTTTTTTCTTGGAAATAGGCCACTGGCTTACCTCATTTAACCCTATGATCTTTTTTCTTTTTCGGTATGTGAATGACGGCAACTAAAAATGACATTTCGAATTCGGTCTGACAACATGTCAGACTTCAGTCAGTATTTGTATTACTAAAATAAGATCTCTCGTTAAAATATGTATTATTCCTCCTCGAGATAAATTATTGTGAAAAAGGTCCTGTCTTAACTTTTAGGGTTAATAATTAGTCACTGGACTAAAATTCATCCCATTGAAAGCGATCAAATGTACACTAATGATGAGCCAGAGACCGGAAGAACAGAATAGGCGCATCATATTTAAGTTCGTGCTCAAATTCACACTCCTGGCGGACTTCGCTTGACATAACTGTTAATGAGATCGATCTTCCAGTTTACGAATGGAGTAATTTGGGAACCTTAAATTTGAATTAACACGTTTTGCATCATGTGTATATTTCATACAACTATTTTACATTAGCTCGCAATAAAGGTATGCAAATCCATGGATTGCCTCAAATTTTAGCCCCATTTTAGACTCTCTTTATTGTAGATTAAAGAAATGATTACGAATGAACAGCCAAAATTCAAACCTTCTGAATTTACGTCTTAATGTTCAAGTAAAAAAGTGGCCACTAACACTTGTCATAAAAATTCATAGAAGGGACGATCTCACTAGTTGTCTCACAACAATTGCACAATTACGCATCACATATCAATATCAAATCCTAGCACTGTAAGGTACTGCATCAAACGATTTTGCTTAATTAATTGTTCCCCCAAATCCTTTTGAAAAAATAACCTTATTGCCTTCGCTGTTCACAAAACCGCGATCGAAATAAACTTTTTTCTTATTTTTTATTTTCCTTTATTTATTTAAATGTTACTTCATTTGGCTGAAAAAGGTGCAAAAGAAATCGTCTTTTGAAAACGAAATTTTGTAAAAAATGCATAAACTTACCTTAAGATTTAACGGTAAGACTTGTTAGCGTACCATTCATTTGAAGGTAGTGGAATTAACCAGTGGTTGTCATACAAAACGAGGTCCGATAGAAAATATTAATTATGCGTACTTTACTGAGTCAAAAAAAAAACCGTGATACGGAACCACATTTTTTATTGATAGAAAATGAATCAGCATGCAGATGTTGTAGGAGGAAAATGGCAGTTGGAGATCTCCTGGTAAGCCAACAGTTTAACAAGATCAAAGATTATGTTCGCAATGCCTGTTTCTAATCAAACTGTAAAATGTTACCATCGTCCTATTTGTAAATTAGTGTCTGGTGGACATAGAAAAGAGACGGGAGGATGCGCGTGTGCGCCGAGGAACGATTTGTGCAGGGGAAAGCTCTCTACGCGTAGGATGATCGTAAACAACAAGGCCAGCTGTGTTTCTCTCAAGATCTTATTCAATATCTAAGTTAAAAAAACAATCCTTTTTTACTTGTTATCGAATTCATAGCCCACTCACGTTCCTCTCTCTGTCGCTTTTGTGATAGAAGAGTCCTCTAGAATCTACGAGATTGAGCTTTTTTCGGTTTAAAGTCGATACCTGTCACGCATTCCTTAAAGCCAAGAGAAAACACAGAATTTGATAGAAAAACAGTTTTTTATTTTGTCGATGTTAGGAGATTTTCGTGAGCGGCCAACCATAACTCAGTTGTTATGTGATCATCTGAATTCATGCAATATGCGTGCAGATGGTTGAGGATTACTTCACCGCTAATTAGCACGCACGCTTGGCGGCTATTTTATGTGGCTCTATTTGATGTAAGTTCCGTACGATTTCATTAATATCCGCGAAAATCACTTGGCGAAAATCACTTGAAGAAAATCACTCGGCGATATCTCTCTGGTTCCGCTACTCGCGAACTGATCATAGTCTTCGGGATTTAATTTAAACATGTTTTATTTCGTTTCAAATTCCATAGTTGAGACGCTACACACAACTTCTGAGTCCCTTCCCCTTTCCGCAATATACTACTGCATCTTTATAACGTTTAAGTCAGATCGCTACCAAGGGCGATATAACATTGAGTAGTAGCTAATTTTGGGGTGGCAAATTTGTTATGGTGGCGAAATGACTGGATATCTTTCGCTTCGATCCTTTACAGATTTACAAGTTGGACCCAGACAAGTTATCCCGACTACCTTTACTCCAGTCTCACCACACCTCGTTACGTGTCAGCGGCGGCGCTGGAACGAGTCACATGACAGCTGATTAAGCTTAAGATTTGACAAACCAAAACAGAGTATGGTTGCCGAAATGTAGAAAAATTCAATAAGAATTATTTTCACTCAATAAAAATATATTTGCATTCGATAAAAGTATTTTCATTCGATAAAAATATATTTTTACTCGATAAAATATTTTTAGGCGATAAAATGTATATTTGCATTCGATAAAATATATTTTTATTTGATAAAGAAAAATACTCTCATTCGATGAAAAAAAAATTTGCATTCGATAAAACATATTTCCATTGAGTGTAATATTTTCAATCGGTAAAAATATTTTTATTCGATTAAAAATAATTATAAAACATGTTTCCATTCAGTGGAATATATTCATTCGGTAAAAATATTTTCATTCGATAATTAAAAAGTAAATTTTCATTCGATAATCTCACGTGACTCCCGGAGGCATGGTAACCAGGCATTCATGGCATGGTCATAACGCTCCCCGCCAAGCTTCCATAAACATGGTGTTTGGTTAAACCTAGTCCCGGACCTTTTTCCTTTGTTCTTGTTTTATTTTTTTGTTGCGTTACGTTTCGGTACATATACACGAGGTAGAGTTTGGTCACATGTTTTTTGGACTGTAGCTTCTCACACGTGGTCTTATCAACGAGCAAGATTTAATTTTTCTTTGCAGAATTAAACTTCCGGCACCGGAAAACTCTTAATATCTTAAAAGAACTTCTCAAATGCTTTTCTTGTTTTTATTTAACTTCAAATCATCCTTGAAAGCATATTCAATGTTATTGTTGTTCACATTTCAGCGACTTCAGATGGCACGCAAGGCTCAATAGACAGTCGGAGTTGAAGGAAATTGTAAACACAACAAAATGAAACTTCGGATATTTGTGTGTACAAGCAGCAGAGGTAAAAACCTGTCGTAAGTGAGACGTATGGCAGGATTAAACAGATTAGTCGACATTTCTAGAACTTGCTTTTACCGGTAGTTTACCAATTTTGTTAGTGTCCATCGCACCAGCAACACGTTACTAATTGGTTTTATTTTATTTTTTTTTCCTTCTTAAGATTCCCGGTGCAACTGAAAACCTACAACAACCGCTACGAAAGCTACAGCAACTTTACCTACTACAACTTTACAATCTAACATCCCATCTACGACTACCAGCTTCACTTCTACTTTTCAACCCACTAATTCGACTACAACGAATGCGCTTACTGAGGAAATTACTTTATCAACAAGAACAACGAGCACCAACGAATCCTCCACAAGAAGAATGACGTGGCCTACAAAAGCTGCTGAAGAACCAGTTATAACTACAGACTCAGCTGTAGTTGGTCTTCCTGCGAATGCAGAACTGAGCAACCCCATCAAACCAAGTAAAAGACGTGGTCTTCTAGGCTCACTTCAGACCGTTGCCTTAGAACAGTCACCTCCCAAAAATTGAAACTGGTCGAAAGGGTCACTTTCCGTTAAGTTCAGATGGTTCCAAGTTTTTCCTTAGTAAGCTCGACCAACTAGAGGCGTATCTGCTTTCTCTTTATACGATTTCCACACCTATTCCGCATGCAAATTAGTCTCCATGTAACAAAAAGGGAAACTTCATTCCTTTCACACAGTGTTTCCACATGATTTTTTAATTGTGAAAAACGCGCACTGGTTTACGCGCTTTGAAGCCTCGGCGGTGATTTGCGGCTCAACCGTACACGAATTATTAACTGAGTTCTTGACAAAGTGACCAACTTTTTCCACATGAAGCGCACCTTGTTTAGTCTCCACCATGTTATATTTTTTCAGTTTCAGAGCTCAATTTGACAATCATGATTCCTTTAAAGGCCTGCTTTTTGCTGTCAATCATGGTCAACATTATCTTCTTTTGCCGAGTAAGAAAACAAAAACAGGGATATGATCTCGACGAGAAGAAAGCGAACATTATCGAAGCTAATTCAATAAGACACAAGGAGAAAGACAAGGAATTCCCAAACCTTTGGACCTTGGTCCATGATCGTAAACTGCTTGATATTAGTTCTCCAATAGTGTGTACGGTAATTTATATTCAGTACTCTGTGTATTGTACGTATGAATTTGATGATGAGTAGAAAAGAGAGTGTGAAAAGCATTAGGAAGGAGGTTATTATGATGGGAATACAGAAAACAAGCTACAAGGAAAGCATTAATGAATACAAAATACAAAAACAAGCTACAAGGAAAGCATTAATGTTATAAATATCAAGGATATCAAGATTGTAGAATAAGGGCGCAACATGAGCTAGGTATTCGGCTCCACTTATAATTCTGACTATACATTTCTGCAAGAGGAAAATCCTGTTTAAATTAGAAGGACAAATTGAGGACCATACGGTAATACAATAGCAGAGATAAGGATACACTAGAGTATGGTATAATGTTAGTAAAGATTTGAAGAAAGAAAAAAACGAGATTTACTTATTACTCTAATGGTTTTCGACATCTTTTTAGTGATTTGGGATATAGGTTGCTTCCACGAGAGATGCTGATCAACAAGAACTCCAAGAAACTTTGTTACCTCAACCTGCTTGATGTCAAGAGTAATGCTATCATTAACAACAGTGCGTTTTTGCTTTGGGCGAAAAAGAATGTAATTAGTTTTTGCAATATTAAGTGATAGTTTATTAGCATTAGGCCAGCATATTATCTTCCGTATTCCACAATTCATGACGGATATGGTCTGGTTGGGATCTTTATGAGAGTGAAAAGGACTAGTATCATCAGCAAATAAAAGAGTTTTTACTATATCTGATCAGTGCATTTGGGAGGTCATTAATATAGGTTATAAACAACAAGAGGCCCAAGAATGAACCTTGCGGGACTCCATATGTAAAACGTTCCAGTCGTGAACGAGTTGAACCAAATTGCACAAACTGTTGCCTGTTTTTTCAAAAAATAGCTGTAGATCCAGTCGAGGGTTTGTCGTCTTATTGCATAGTGATGAAGCCTTTTGAGCAGTAGATGGTGATCAATAGGATCAACGGCTCTACACAGATCAAGAAAAACTCCAACAGTTGTTTCTTTGTTGTCTATAGAAGAAGCGATGTTATTTACCCATTGAATTAAGGCTAAAGAGGTGGAGTGATGTCTACGAAGACCAAACTGGTTATTGTACAAAATAATGGAGATTGGCCTATAATTTTCTTTCCTTTCTGGATCACCAGATTTGAATATGGGAAGAACTTTCGCTATTTTAAGGATGTTTGGAAAACACACACTCTCTAAAGAGAGGTTAATAATCTTTGTTAAGAGCTCAACAATAATGTCAATCGTGAGTTTTTTTAATTCACGTGGGAAGGTTATCAAATTCAGGGGCTTTACCAATTGCGAAGGTCTGGACTAATTCTTTAAGTTCTTCACTAACGAGCGGTCGAAACTCTAAGAAAGTAATCACATGAACCGGAACGTAAAGAGAAATTAGATTCAGGGTCAAGGTCAGTGAATTTGTAGAATGTCGCATGTATTCCATAGGATTGAAGCAGATGTTTTCTAAGCGATCTGTGTCGATATTAACGGTGCCAAACTCATTTTCGGAAATTATGAGATGAAATGATTCATCAACTGGTTGATTAAATGGAAAAACTCCACTCATACGATCATAGCATAGCCAGTTTAAAGGGTTAGTAGGATAAGTGGAATTTGTACAGTAGGTACAGGTATACATACACATTTGAAGTTTGGTTGAGTGTCATTACGGACACGAAACTAAAAATAATATTTT